TTGTTTGGCAAATTTCCCTCCATCGCTTTATTTTGAGCCTATGTGTGTCTCTGCATGTGAGATGGGTCTCTTGAAGACAGCATACACATGAGTCTTTGTTCTTTATCCAGCTTGCCATTCTGTGTCTTTTAATTGTGGCATTTAGCCCATTTACATTTGAGAGTAGTATTGTTATATGTGGATTTGATCCTGCAATCATGATGCTAGCTCATTATTTTTCAGACTTGTTTATATGGTTGCTTCAAAATGTCACTGGCCTGTATACTTCAGTGTTTTTATGTAGTGGCTGGTAATGGTCTTTCCTTTCCATTTTTAGTGCTTCCTTTAGGATCTCTTGTAAAGCAGGTCTGGTGGTAATGAATTCTCTCCGCATTTGCTTGTATGAAAAGGATCTTATTTCTTCTTCATGTATGAAACTTAGTTTGGCCAGATATGAAATTTTGGGTTGAAAATTATTTTTTATGAATGCTGAATATAGGCTCCCAATCTCTTCTGGATTGTAGGATTTCTGTTGAGAGTTCCACTGTTAGTCTGATGGGCTTCCACTTTGTAGGCGACCTGGCCTTTTTCTCTGGCTGCCCTTACCATTTTTTTCTTTCATTTGACCTTGGAGAGTCTGATGATTATGTGTCTTGGGGATGATCTTCTCATGGACTATCTTACTGGGGGCCTCCGTATTTCCTGAAATTGAATGTTGGCTTGTATTGCTAGGTTGGTGAAGTTCTCCTGGATGATATCCTGAAGTATGTTTTCCAAGTTGGTTCCATTCTTGTCTCGTTCAGGTACCCCAATCAGTCATAGATTCAGTCTGTTTACATAATCCCATATTTCTCAGATGTTTTGTTCATTTCTTTTCACTGTTTTCTGTTTTTATTGGCCTGTCTTATTTCAGAAAGACAATCTTCAAGCTCTGAGATTCTTGCCTCCATTTGGTCTATTCTGCTATTAAAGCTTGTGATTGCATTGTGAAGTTCTTGTAGTATGTTTTTCAGCTCTATCAGGTAGGTTATGTTACTCTCTATACTGGCTATTTTGGATATCGGCTCCTGCATTGTTTTATCATGATTCTTAGCTTCTTTTCATTGGGTTACAACATGCTCCTTTAGCTCAGTGAACTTCATTTTTATCCACATTCTGAAGACTACTTCCGTCATTTCAGTGATCTCAGCCTCAGCCCAGATCTGAACCATTGCTGGGCAGGTGTTGCAATTATTTGGAGGAAAGGGAGCATTCCGGTTTCTTTGTTTTTTCTTTTCTTTTCTTTCTTTTTTTTTTGTGCTAATTCTTTCTCATCTTTTTGGGCTTATCTGCCTCTGATCTTTGAGTTTGCTGACCTTTGCATTTTTTTGTGTGTTTTGTTGTTGCTGTTGTGTTTTATTTGTTTTTCTTTGAACAGTCTGGGCACTCTTCTGTAGGGCTGCTGTGGTTTGCTGTAGGTCTGCCCCAGTCCCTAGTCACGTTGGTTTTTCCATTACCTGGAGGTATCATCAGTGAAGGTTGTGAAACAGCAAATATGGCCACCTGCCCATTCCTCTGAAAGCTCTGTCCCAGGGGTCACTGACCTGTTGCTGGCCTGAATGTGCCTGTAGGAGGTGGATGGAGTTTCCAGTTGTAAGATCTCACCCAGTCAAGAGGAATGGAATCAGGGACCTGCTTAAAGATGCAGTCTGGCTGCATTTTGGTAGAGCAGCTGTGCTGTGTTGGGAATCCCTTCAGCCCCCAGCTGATTTGGGCTCTTCAAGGCCCACAGCCTGAACCTGCTAGGGTGCCCAAACAGTAAATGTCTGCCCCACCTACTGGGCACTCTGTCCCAGGAAGAAATTAGAACTCTGTTGGCCATAGAACATGGGTGGGGCTGGCCAGAGGCCCTGGCTGGGAGGACCCACCCAGTGAGGAGGAATGGATCCGGGTCTGTTTAAAGAAGCAGTCTGGTCATGCCTCAACAAAACAGCTGTGCTGGGGAACTGTGCTGTAGAACTGCCTCTGCTCTGTTCAGTTTGGACTTTCCAGTGCCTGCAGGCTGGAAGCGCTGAGTTATCCAAACAACCAAGGTGATGACCCACCCCTCCTATGGGGCACTCTGTCCCAGGGAGACATCAGAGTTCTGTCCATAGAATACAGCTGAGTGGGGGTGGCTGGAGGCCCTAGCTGCGAGGTCCTGCCCAGTGAAAAGGAATAGATCAGGGTTATGGCTATTGTTTTGGCTGGCTTCATAGTATTTCATTGAGTTATCCTATTTGCCATTTCTTATTACTGAACATATTTTTCACCCTCTTAATATCCTCTTACTCCTAACACTCTCTTACTCCTACTCCTGTACACAGATTTTGGGTTACTATCAATAACACCATAAATGTTTTCTCCCTGTCTCATCCCTTATATCTCCATCAAAAGCAAATGCTGTCCTGAATGTTTATAATTATTATTCACTTATAAAGCTTAAAATTTTGTATCACATATTATGTCTAAGGCATATGGTGTTTGATTATACTTGCTTTAAAATTTCATTAGAAAATATGCCATATGCTTTTATTTGGTATTTACTTTTTAATTCAACATAATGTTATTAAGATTCATTCATGCTGTTATATATGGTTGTCATTCACTTATTTTTCATTGCTCTCTAATATTATATTTTATTAGTATACTACAATTTATTTATCTGTCCTCCTGACTATGGCCATTTAGATTACTTAAAGTTTTTGCTATATGAACAGTGTTTCCTCCAAACATTTGTGTGCATATCTCATGCATACATGCACTAATTCTGGAGGGATTTTTATATCTAGGAATAGAATTGTTGGACTGTAGGTATGCACATGTTCAGCTTTAAAATGCAATGCCAAAGGATGGTGGAAAGTGATGGTACTATCAGTAACATATAAGAAATTATGACAATAGGATGTTGGATAAATCCTATTTAATAGTTGACAATATCAGATTTCTTAATTTTTGTAAATTGATTACATGTAAAATGATTTTCTAATTCTAGTCTTCATTTATATTTCCTGATTGTCAGAGAGACAGAGATTTTCTTTCTTTCTTTCTTTCTTTCTTTCTTTCTTTCTTTCTTTCTTTCTTTCTTTCTTTCTTTCTTTTTTGAGACGGAGTCTCGCTCTGTCACACAGGCTGTAGTGCAGTGGCATGATCTCTGCTCACTGCAAGCTCCACCTCCTGGGTTCGCGGCATTCTCCTGCCTCAGTATCCCAAGTAGCTGGGACTACAGGCACCTGCCACTATGCCCAGCTAATTTTTTGTATTTTTAGTAGAGACGGGGTTTCACCATGTTAGCCGGGATGGTCTTGATCTCCTGACTTTGTGATCCACCCACCTTGACCTCCCAAAGTGCTGGGATTACAGGCGTGAGCCACCGGGCCTGACCAAGACTGAGCATTTCTTTAGATGTTTCTATCTACATGTGTTGCATGTTTTGTGGTGTGACTTTTGTTCATTTTGTCATATTTGTTATTAATTTGTAGGCATTCTTTGTAATTTCTTGATATAAAATTTTGATCCTTAGTCAATTATATATTCCTGATTCATTTTCAATTATATGCGTGGCGAATATCTTCCCCAGATTACAGCTTGCTTTTTGTTTTACTTTTTTAAAGATGTTTTTTGATTAACCCAAGTTTCTTAATTTTACTCTAATTTTTATGTATTTTTTATGGTTATGTCTCTTTGTTAAGCCCTTCCCTACTCCAAAGCAGGAAGAAATTCACATTTATTTTATCACATGTTTTAATGTTTTGCTTTTGACATAAAGATCTTAAACTATATAGAGTTATTTTTGTGTAATGTGCATGGCAGGGGTACATATTTTTTTTTTTCTTATCAATAATCACTATTACTAGGTCCTTTTGCTGAACAGTCTCCTCTTTTCACAGTAATCTGCCATACCATCTTTGATAGACACTTAAGCTTAATTTATTTTTAGATCTCTTTCTATGGTTCCCCTTTTGAATACTGTCTTTTCAATTCTTGTATTTGGGTACTGGGTTCACAGGTGTCTATTACATTATTAACATATTTATTAAAAGAAAAATGTTAAATTACAGAGGGTCATGCATCGACCAATGACGAATGTGTCTCATGAATTAAATATTATGATTAATTCAAATCTGTGAGCCTGAGGGCCATTAAAAAGATAAAATAAATAAATAATGCTACAAAGAACAGTCTTATTCATGTTCTTTTTCTCCCTTTCTTGCCTAAGGACAAGTTCCCAGGAATGAGGGAGCAAGTGTATACAAAATACTTTTAAAGGTTTTAACTGTGAAACTTAAATGCTTTCCAAAGGGACATACACATTACCCTTTGTGGCAAAGGGTCTAGCATTTAAATTCAGAGTTCTGGCCCTGGGGCATCCATTGTCCTGTCTTCTTTTGCTCCAGTCTCCTTCCTTACCACTTCCCCATCACACTGATCCTTGTCTAATCCCACTAAGAGGCAATATATTTCTTCTTTGGACCCTGTCTGTACCTGCTAAAGCAGCACCCACAGACTCTACTGCTAGTTGGCCAGATTAAAAGTAACAATGAAACAATTTCTGGCCTCACGTTGGTCTCCCTCTTTTCATTTTTATTACTGATGCGCATTTTCTAGCTAGTTTGCTCTTTCCCCAGATACACTCACAGCTTGCTCTTAGGGTTGACTGGTTATAGCATTGCTCAGATGTCACCTTCCTCAGCAAGACCTTTCGAGACCACCCATTTAAAATGGCAACCCCTCACTCTCGATTCCCACTGTTTCCCTCCTGTGCTTTTTATTTCCATATAACTTATCACCACTTGTCTGTTTCCCCTTCATCAGAATTTGGAGCTTAGATCTCTTTTGTCCATGGGTGTATTCTCAGCATTTACAATACTTTAAACATGACAGATGCTTTGTGAACACTTGCGAATATTATTACAAACAAAGCACATAGATGTTGTTCAATATGTGTGTCGGATGAATGACTGAAGTCCAGAGGACTCAAGGAACCCACGATTATACTTAACATTTTTTGGCATCTGTCCCACTGGAGGTCCAGGGGTAGTTGAAGTCTCGGGTAGTCACACTGGAACTGCTGGCTGAAAGACAAAATTATTTTCAGAATCCAGCTTTTTTAGAAAGCTGTAATTTAACTTTGCTTTGATGCACAGAATTTTTAATCTATGTGACTTTGGGGAAATCTGAAATTGAAAATGTGCTTCTCTATGCAGGAATACTAGCTGGCATATTAAGCAAAAGCTCTGTAGGTTAATGCCAGCCTGTCACTGATTTGTATTCTTTTTCTGTTCTTGTCACAAACTCAGATCACTGAGAGTATTGTGAAGACTACTTTAATATTACCTTAAAATCCCTTGACAAATAAAAGGTACAATATAATAACAAATCATCACCCCTTATTTTTTAAGATTATAGAAATTGTCATATCAATATGTAGTCACCATAGAGTAACTCAAAACCAAGATATTAACAAACATCAAATGAAAAATACAGCTGTTTACTGAAACGTCAACATTATAGAAGCAGTAGTAAAACTTGTGAGTGTGTTGTCTCTTTCCACTCATGGAGGAAAACCTTGCTGAACTCACGTTGAGGAGTAGTGTTTGGCCTCAAGGCACTCACATCTGCAAGGGTCACTGAAGACGTAGCTGGATATCCTATTTTGAAAATAAAATTCCCAAATTATTATATGTATTTACATTCATATGTTTAACTATGCCACTACATTTAAAAAGAGCCTGGAATATTAGAGTTGGAAAGAATCTTAGCGAATAGCCTCATTTTATAAATGATGAAACTGAATCCAAAAGGAATCATATCCAATATCATTTCTTTGCTATTAACCCAGTTCTCCTAATTCTAAATGTATTATATTCATACTTTCAAAATATATTATATCGGTGTCTACCGTATGCCACTCTATTCCGCATGCTGGGGATATAGCAATAAACAATGAAGACAGGGTCCCTGCTGTTATGAAACTTACCTTATAATGAATTTTCACAAATACAACTGTGAAAATATATCTTCACATACTAAATATGGTTTCATATTTACTTCAGTTGTTAGTTTGCAAAGTCATTTCTCCATCTTTATACTCCATAATTGTACATTCTCTTCCTTCCTCCTCACTCCTCCAAAATGAAAGACTGATTCATATTCATTTGAAAATACCTCTATATTTTAGAGCTATTATATATAGCAAGGTAGATTAAAGAAGAAGAAAAATATCCCACCACAGTCCGTTGAAATCATGTTTATATCTCTTGGAAAGAAAAATTTTGAGTACATTTTGTGTGTATTTCTCCTTTGTTCCAAAATGTATTTAAGGTGGTTTATATCAATGTGCAATACAAGAAGATAAAAGCAGAAAGGCAAAATAGGAACAAGGAAAATATAGTAGAAAAATTATGTTGAGTCCTGTTGAAACCTAAACAAGGATAGTGGACAAAGTGCATTTCCTGATGTCCTATGCTGTTAGTAGATGTGGGCCCCACATTTGGTCTGACATTTCTGGTAGCAAATGCTAAGAAATAAACAGTAGAGGTTACATGATTGATGAATATAATAAGATAGAAACAGTATTATTATGAATAGCGAGAGAAAAAGTTATTCTTTTTGTTGTGATTAAAAAGAAACTTTTCCCCAGATCGTCATAAAAAGAATGCTGTATAATGTGTAAAGTATCCTATAAAATATCCTTACAGTATCATAGCCAGTATGTTCACTCATCCTCAAACTTTAGTTAGTAGTGAAGGGCAGCCAGCTTTCCTGGTACCTCAATTATGTGAAAGGGAATGTCTTAAATAGAGAACATGGGCAATCAAATAAAATGAATAAGTTGGCATTGTGGTTTTTGCATTTATAAGTAGTTCACATTCAGAGGTCAGCAATGATAACCTTTTTTTTTTTTTTTTGCAAAGCAGCGTATCAATGAACTATAAAAAGATACTTACCCACCGTGCCTCCATGATTAAAAGAGTCATACATACAAAATACTTAGAAGAGTGCCTGGCATTCAGTAAATGCTAAAAAGTATGTCTTAGAAACTGTAAAACAGGTCACTTGCAGTTTATCAGATGTTAATACCAGCATATTCTAACTATAGGCCACTTGAATCTCCTGAGGAGTTCCACAATTGTCCCATTTTCCTTGGTCTTTTTGGAAGAAAGTTGATCTAAGGTAACTCATTCCTTCTTCTTCAGCCTGGCTCAAGTCAAGAACTACATTCCAAAGTGTTGTACTAGAAAAGAGCTAATAGAAATAAAGAGTGTGATAGTAGGCTGGGGCATTAGCTTTGTGGTAGGGTAGTAACTTCTCACTGGCAGAATCACCTACAATTCTTTTCCTCTGCTATCCCACTGAGCCATCGGTACCAGATTCTTGTGCGGTAATTTTAACTTCTAGCTCACTGCCTCCCACCATTCATCAAAGGCTGTATTAATAGAAAAAAATGCACAAGATTGACTGCGTAAAGCATATATGATGCTTTTGTAGATTGCTTTGAACTGAGTATTGAAACTACATTCCTAGTCACTGTGGAATTCCTCTTATATAATACTGAGGATTTTCCCATTGGCTGACACTAGATGACAGTCTAATACGATGCGGGGAGGTGTGGGGTCGCCATTGTTCACTTAGAGTGAGAAAGTTCCTGGGACTGTGCTCCACCACGCCCTCTAGAGGAGGGTCTCCAGGCTGTCTCTGCATTAAGAGCAGCTGTGCTTCTGGACAACTGCCTTGTTATACCATTTTACAAATCTATGGATCACCAAGTGATTTATAATTTTATTTCTCTCATTGAGAAGACTTTGCTTTTTTTCTCTCTGCAGCAATTCCTTCAGTTACCTCTTTTCAAAATTGTATTGTTACGTATTTTTAAAGTTACTTCATATTCCTTTTGGGACAAGACAAGGTAAAAATATACAGAAGAAAATAAATAAATTAGGTGTAAGTAATTTGAACACTGTGAGATACTGAGAGATATGACAGGCTCTTCCTAATGAATAAAGATGGTTCTTTCCTCCTTCCTCCCCTCCCTTCTCTCTCTCATGCTGAAATTAACCTCCAAAAGTATTTGCTGAGAGGCTTGGTAAGTACATTCAAAGGAATTGTTTTTAACAGTGATGCTATGATAACAATAGTCATAATGAAGATGATGAAAAAGATCTAGGAAATAAACATCAAAGAACTTAATATTTATTTGTAAACTACATGACCACTACCTAGAAATCTCAGTCTAAGAAGCAACTGCCAGCCGCTTTTAAAAATATATCTTACCTGCAAGCAACAGACACTTTCCTATGCCAGCCTGGTTGCCCACACTGGGGGCTGGCACTGACCAGGACATGTGATTTAATTCTGGCAGGAATCTCAGGAATCCTGATGAAGTACAACTTGATTGGGAATTTCATTTATATGAAAATGACTGGTTAAATGTTCTCTTCTGGAGGTCAGAAAATAATGTGACATAAGTCATTCCTCAAGGTTTACTGCAGGAGAAGGAGAACTCATTCATTTGATTCTACCTATTATGTTATTTAGGTACCTTGTTGAGGGAGAAACGTGCTGAGGAATGCATGCTGCCTTAATCCTTGTGTGACTATGTCTCTGCTCCAACTTAGACATCTATGTTGCTTTACCCTTCTGACACACAAGACTGTGGAGTACATTGAGGGCTGAATACATGCCAAGGGTGGGGAACAAAAGGATCAATGATACCTAGTCTCTTAGTCTCTTTCCCCAGGGAGCACAAAGTTATTTCGCTCGTATTGGTCTCCAGCTGAATATTCTTTAGACTTCCACTTGAGGGTCCGAACCAACTTGCACAGGTTATTGAGAGAATGATTCCTTTACTATGAGACCTCACTCATTATGTAGAATTCAGAGTTAAAGTTATTTAGAGAACTATGTAGTTCCTAGATAAATTAAATCTACCCCTCTCTCTTCCACTTTACACTATGGTTCAAGGTTAAGGCCCCTTCATACTCCATGACCTGATCTCTAACAATCTTCACATAGTCCTCTCTTGCTACTCCCTGCATACATTCTTTTATTTGTTCAACCAATACCTGGAAGTCTCTATATTTCAGGCATTGTGCTTGGTACTGGGAATACTGCTTTCCTGGAGTTTAAGTTCACGGAGGAGATGGACATCAAGCAGAGGATCACGTAAGCCAATTCAAACACTAGAACATATTAAAGGGGGGATGGCCCACCCAGAGTCCCAGAAAAGCTTTCCCAAGGAATGTAGTGGGAGATTGTGGCCAGTGGAGGGAGGGTGGGAGCTTTCAGGCAGAGGGCATAGCCAGTGCAAAGGCCCAGTGTGTGGTCTCACATATCATGGATTAGTAATAGCCATTTCTGGCACCTGTCCATTCCAGGACTGGGCTTTTACAAACCCTCAGGGTGTTTTTTCCATGTGCTGAGTTGAACTGGATGTGAGAGCTAGGTGGGGTGTTACCTGCCAAAGTGCATATCCAAGACATAAGCAGCAGCAGGAGAACAGTGATCAAACTGTGGCACAGGGTGCAGCAACACTGCTTATTTTTTAGGAGTTTTGTTTTGTTTTAAAAAGTCCCTTCTTAAAACCTGACCTGGAGATTCTGTAACTATATAAGAACATGTCTGACTGTCTCTTGATATCATGTAGAGAATTAAAAATATTTTATTTGCATTCCTCATAGCCATGTTTTTGAAAGATTCATATTGATCATGTATTTCCAGATGTGAGAAAGCTTGCTTTGTACCTTTCATTTTAAGGCTAAGTTTGTATTTCACAACATAGCAAAATCTCTTCGATATTCAATAGTGTGTTCTAAATCATGAGATACTATATAGGCAGGTAAGATGCCAAACTCTGTGATAGGGAGTTGATGGCTTTGTTTGCTGATTGTTTATTCCTTCTTCAATGTGAATGTTTAGTATTATTAAATGTTGCAAGTATCCAGAGTTATACTATAATGACCCATGTCTCCAGGAAATAAGATGAAATTTAGAGGTAAACACTACTTCACACAAAATGTTTTGTTTATACTAGTTCAGAAATGGCCATGAGGTTGCATGAGGAGGTTTGAAGCCTTCCTGGCCCATTTCTATTTTAACTCTTTAAAAATTTTCTCACTAAAATAAAATAACGCCCCCCTTTTACGCTATCACTGGAAATTCAATTAAGTTAGAAGACAGCTCCAGTCAGTGTTGAATTGAGTGGGCAGACAGAAACATGTTCTAAAAGAGCTAATTTTGGTCATCTCCATATGACATCGTTAAGCAGAACTGAATCTCTTAATCTATACTCTTGCCAGTCTTCCTGGTGACCTAATTGCTAGAGAAAGGAAAGGTAGAGGAAGGCTAGAAGATCTATGTTTGGCTAACTTTTGGGAAATGCTGAAATATTTTCCAAACAACATAGATTTTAAAGATAATTTAATATGGACCTACTATATGACAAATAAAAGAAGCAAGTGAGCAGTTACAAAGTAGCATAAGGGGAGCATAAAGGATATACTGGTAACTTAAAAAAAGAGAGAAATAAATTTGGTCATTGTTTCCTTCTTCAAGGAATTAAAAATTACAAATAAAGGTCTTGATTTATTTTGAGATGGTTTTTGCTTACTAGACTCATGACATTTCTTCTCAGACTGGACAGTATGAGTCG